TTACAGCATTCAGTTACAAATAAAAGGAAATTGGTTGACACAGTTAATTCAGATCCATAAGCTACCTTGTAGGACAGAGTTAAATGCCTTTTTAGGTTTTCTAAAACGGTAAATCTTTTTTATAAATTGTGATTTTAGTGAAAATGTATAAAGAAATTAATTTTTAATGAATTGATACAAGCAAGCCATCTTTTCATTTCCTGGCAGCTGTTGCCAAGAGTGTTGACTGTGGATCTAAGCAAGCTGAAGGTGTTAACAATCTCAGTCTCTTCACCATCTATCATGATGCTGCCCATCGGCCCAGGGGTGAGAATCTTTGTTTTCTTGATGTTGAGAGGAGGACCCTTAAGAAAATGGACTGACATCGTGGCTAAAATGCAGCAATGACCACAAGGCCCACACAGGGCCAGGCCGGGTGCATGTCCAGCTGTACACACGGTTGCTGGGCATCGAAGCAGACACCTACGTCTGTGCTTAGCAGGGGATGGTTCTCAGTTGCCATTCCCAATGTATGTTGGCATGTCAGGGTTTTCAAAGTGGAGACAGCTCATCAGTAGACCCCCCCCCCAGGCCTATCTGCCAATTTTCAAAACCACTCAGGACACAGCTCCAACTCAAAGCCAGGACACAGCTCCAACTCAAAGCCAGGACTCAGATCCAACTCAAACCCACTGGGCTGGAAATCGGTTCAGATTCCCTGTGACTCTGTAGGGCTGAACAGAACTGCCCAGGGGGTTTCCAAGGCTGTAAAGCTGAGTGGTCAAAGGGTAGTGGACAGAGGACGTGGGCAGAGAAGGGACTGAACTGAATGAGTCACAGAACAGGGCCTGGGGCGCCCTCTGGTGGCCGTGCAGGGGACAGGCAATGGCCATGAAGACTCAGGCCCTGAAAGTGCAGACTGGAGTGGACAGTGGGAAGGGACAGTCAGACTCAAGACCAACGTGAAGGTAGATTTCTTTTGCTTGCCTCTGGAAACACTGTGAACATGGAGAAATGATCAAAGTTATACAAGTGTTCGGGTCTTTCATTCACAGGGTCACTATGAGTCATCTAGACTCGACAGCACTTAACAACGACAATATAGAGAGAACTCTGTTGGCCTAGTGGACAGAAAGTGATGCTACCAAGCCCAAGGTGGGTGATTTTTAATCTGAGGCCCTCAGGCCTGGTTCAAATTGGTTTTGGTCAAAGATTCTTCTAGGTGGTATAGCCCTGGTCTGTGCATTGCTGTACAGAGGTAACTCATGGTTGCTGTGATGCTAAACACTGAGACACTGATGTGTCAAATGGGATAATGGTCACCCCTGGTGGACAGTGTTTGCTGGAGCTCCCCGACTAAAACAAGCTTGGAAGCAGGAGTGGCATCCATTTCTGAAATGGCTTGCCTCCAGAAACTCTATGAACGTGGAGAAATGACCAAAGTTATACAAGTTCAGGTGTTTCATTCATAGGGTTGCTATGAATCGTCTATGACTCAATGGCACTTAACAACAACAGACCAGATTATGGGGGAACAGGCATCAGAAAGAAAAGGGTATGACTGCCATTGCCTCAGAGTTATCTAAGTTGTGGTCACATAAGAGATAGCTGTGGTGGCCTAGGGGTAAGAAGCTGCGCTGCAATCCTGAAAACACACGGTTCGAGTCCACCAGCTGCTCTGTGGGAGAAGGCTGGGCAATCTCCTCCGCTGAGATTAACTGCCTCTGAAAACTCGCTGGAGGGTCAGCTATGGGCCGGTTCCGATTCAATGCCACACACCAACACCAACAACTTACATAAGAACATATTGTCAGTGAGCTCTGGTGGCCTAGTGGCAAGAAGCTGTACTGCAATCCCAGAGGTGTGCGGTTCAAATCCACCACCAGATGCTTTACAGGAGAAGGAGGAACCATCTCCTCCTGTACCAGTCAAATCTGATTTGATGGTACACACACACACACACACAAATAATAAAAATAAAATAAATAAATAAATTTTTTAAAAAAAAGAACATATTGTCAGAATTTCTTTTGCAGAATTAAGTGGGTTGGAGCCACCAAATCTTACACTAGTAGCCACACACTTAATGGTTCACCACAGGGGAGCTCTGGCGGCCTAGTGGCAAGAAGCTGCACTGCGGTCCCAGAGGTACGAGGTTTGAATCCACCAGATGCTCTGCTGGAGAAGGAGGGGCAAACTCCTCCTGTACCAGTCAGATCTGATTTGATGGTACACACACACACACACACAAATAAACATGCACATGCACGCACACACACACACACACACACACACACTAACTCCTAGATCTCCATTTAAAGATGTATCCTTTATATCACCTGTAAGCAAGAAGTTAGAAGATCATTAAAAATCCACCTAGCAGGGGAGCTCTGGTGGCCTAGTGGTAAGGAGCTGCAACTACAGTCCTAGAGGCGCACGGTTCGAATCCACCAGATGCTCTGCCGAGGAAGGAGGGACAATCTCCTCCTGTACCAGTCAGATCTGATTTGACGGTACACGCACACAAAAATAATAAAATTTAAAAAATTAAAAATTAAAAACATCCACCTAGCATAAGTACATCAACAAAGAACTACCAGAAACTTGAGCTGGATTTAGAAGAGGTCGGGGCATCAGGGATAACACTAGGCAAAGGCATTTGAGTGTGTGGATCACAACAAATTAGGATGAACATTGAGAAGCATGGGAATCCCAGAACATCTGATTATGCAAGCAGCACAGCTACTCACTAGACAACCACGACTCCCAAATCTATCCATCTATGGACACAGTGACCACAGCAGTGGGCTTGAGGGTGCCAGAAACTGTCAGGATGGCACAGGAGAGGACAGGGTTCAGACCTGTTGCTCACAGGGTCGCTACGAGTCAGTCACACCTAGCAACAATGTAGCTACAGATGGATACATACACACACACACACACACACACACACACACACACACACACACACATATACAGGCAGCTGGGTGATGGGAACAGTTAAGCCTTCTACTACTAATAGCCAGAAGGTTGTTGGCTCAAACCCAGCTAGAAGCACTTCAGAAGCCAGGCCTTCCCATCTGCTTCTGAGGGGTCACATCCCTGAAACCTCAATGGAGCACAGTTCTCCAGTGCACCCCAGGGGTTCAAGGTCACAATGATTGGGATCAAATCTGACCTTCTGACCCTATCTAAGTATGCCTTTGAGGTCCAGAGAAATAGTATATAATCTGATGCATGTTTACTACCCCCTAGAAAATCCAGTTAAAATAAAATGCTGATAAAAATGGGAAATGACCCCAGGCCCTTGAAAGTGCTGTGACCATACCCAAGAAGTCTTACTAGAACAAGAACCTGTTGTCTGAATAGAGCAAGGGAATGCTGCATGGTTTAAAATCAACACAGGTATGCATCAGGGCTGTATCCTTCCTTCCTCCCTACTTATTCAATCTGTGTGCAGAGCAAGCTCTTTGAGAGGCTTGAACTTTACGAAGGAGAATGTGGCATCAGGATTGGAACAAGACTCATAAACAACCTGCATTATGCAGATGGTACAGCCTTGCTTGCTCAAAGTGAGGAGTACTTGAAGCACTTTCTGCAGAAGATGAAAGACTAGAGCCTTCAATCTGGATTACATCTCAACATCAAGAAAAAGAAAATTCTCATCATTGGGCGCACCACGTTATGATGACAGATATAGAAAAGATTGGAATTGTCAGTGAGTTCATCTTACTGAGTTCCAATCCATAATCCACACCCTTGAAATCAAAGGATGTGTTGAATTTGGAAAATCTGCTGTCAGGAACCTCTCCAAGGTGCACCTGATCATTGTTGTTGTTGTTGTTATGTATGGTTGAGTCACTTGTGACTTACAGCGACGCTATGTCCAACAGCCCTAAACTCTGCTCTGTCCTGTGCCAATCGCACTATCTCTGATACACCCATCCCGATTACCCCAGTCACTGAATCAATCCACCTCATAGGGGGCCTTCCCCTCCTGCACTGTCCCTCCACCCTCCCAAGCATGATGTCCCTCTCCCAGGACCTGTCCCTCCTTGTAACATGTCCAAAGTATGTTAGAGGGAGCCTTAGAATCCTTGCCTCCAAGGAACAGTCCGGTTTGACCCTTTCCAGGATGAATCTGTTTGTTTTCCTAGCAGTCCATGGTATTTTCAATACTCTTCTCCAACACCACAGCTCAAAGGCATCAATTCTCCTTTTATTCTCCTTAGTCATTGTCCAACTCTCTGATGCATAACAATTGATTGCAAAGACAATGGCCTGTATCAGATGCACCTTAGTCTCCAGAGTGACACCATTGCTCTTCAGTACTTTGGAGAGGTCCCTAACAGCAGACATTCCCATGGCAACACGTCTTCTAATTTCCTGGCTGCTGGTGCTCAGAGTGTTGACTGTGGAGCCAAGCAAATGGAAGCTGTGAACAATCTCAATCTCTTCATCCACGGTCATTTCAATTACCTGCTATGCATCTGAAGGTTGGACCATGACTAAGGACGGCAGGAGAGGAGGAATCAATGCCTTTGAGTTGTGAATTGCTTCCTCTGCTAATGAAAGTTGGATAACGAAGAAGGATGACAGAAAAACTGGGATGTTGAAGTGTATTCAGCATCTGACGAACCAGCAAAAGAACAAACAAGTCTTTCAAGGAGGACGTGCAACCAGGGTGGTTCCTTAGAGGCCAAGGATGGTGAAACTTCTTCTCACATCCTTTGTGCATGTTGTCAAAAGGGGCCAGCCCTTGGGAAAGGTGGGGGGTCAGAGAAAGAGAGGAAGACCCTCAACAAGACGGATTGACAGAGTGATTGGAACAATGGGCTGGAGCCAATGGGACACGGTGAGGATGCCATCAGGCCTATTGATGGCACCGTAAACAAGCCACGAAAGAATAAACGTCTGCTTGTTAAAGCCCTTGTGTTATCTGTCATCACAGCTCTAGAGAGCTAAGCTAAGAGACCCCAGGGGGCACCCACCTCTGCAGGGGCCCCAGCCCCACACCTCACCTTGGTCACCGTGTATGTTCCCAGCAGATTCAGCTCCAGCAGCTGCCGGAAGTCCCGGGAGGAGGTCTCTTCTGGCCACTGTGGGGGTGGGTCTGAGGGTAAAGAGAGAAGAGGACAGAGTGAGGGGCGTCTGGACAAGAGAATGTGAGGGGAACAGGGTCAGTGGAGGGGCGGGGCTCAGGGAGTGGGAGATATAAGGGGAGGGACAACGAGGGGAACTTATACAGCAGCATGGAAAAGAGACCAGTTGGGTCTCTTTGTGAAGAGAATGAGGGAAACTGAATGCAAAGAAGAAACTAATCACAGGATTATTATAAACTGTATACATTTTTTTAAAATTTTTGTGTGAGTGTACCGTCAAATCAGATCTGACTGGTACAGGAGGAGATTGCCCCCTCCTTCTCCAGCAGAGCATCTGGTGGTGTATACATTTTTTTTTATGGTAGAATTAACTTTCCATGCAAGAGACACCCCCCCCCCGCCCCCTAAGATCCCCAGCCAGTATGTGGGGTGAACTCCATGCAGAAGGAAACAAATGCTGTCTGGTCCTGAGGCATCTCCAGGTTCACCTGCTGAGTCACCATGCTGTCTGTAGGGTTTTAATGGGCTAATTTTCAGAAGTAGATGGACATGTCTTTCTTCCTAATCTCTCATAGTGAAAAAAACCCCACCCTGCTGAAACTGGCTCAGGCTTCCACTGATAGATGCATTGTGTCTGCATATATGACGTGAGTTTCTATCCCTCTGTCAGGATGTCTGTCCCTCCCCCTCTGGGAATCTGCCCCCCTCTTTCTCTCTGGGTCTCTGTCCCCTCCCTCTGGACTTTTGTCCTCCCCTCTCTCTGGGTCTATGTCTCTCTCTCTCTCTCTCTCTCTCTCTCTGTTCTCTCTCTCTGGGTCCCTGTCCCCTCTCCCCTCTCTCCCTCTCTCCCTCTGGGTCTCTGTCCCCCTCTCTCTGGGTCTCTTTCCTCCTCTCTTTCTCTGAATCTGTGCCCCACACTGGATCTCTCTGGCCCCTCCCCTTCACCAGCTCTCTATAAAGTTTCCAAATCCTGTCCCTATAAACCTGAAAATGCAAGGGCATCCAGAAATAATCAGAAAGTTGATTCTTTTCCCAAATGATGAGGAACCTCTCTTATCATTGAAAAGGAAACTGCTTCTAGAATTTTCCAAGTCAAGTTTCCCAGGGGCTGGGAGTTGAACCCAGGTCTTTGGCACAGATGAGAAGAATTCTACCACCAAAGCCCAAGGAGCTCATCTGAAGATGTGGAAACTGAGGGACAAATCAAGAGTCAAAGCAAACCAGAATGGAAAGCCATCGTCCTGCCCAGTGGACACAGACAGTCAAGGAGGCAATGGAGGTATGGGGTTTGGGAGAGGGGAAAGGAGGTGCAGGAGGAGAGGGTGGGAGCCGGGAGGTGTCAGCATCAGGTCAGGTGAGCCCTGGGGCCCCCAAGACTCACGGTAGCCAGCGTTATTGACCACACAATCCAGGCGGCCAAAACGGTGCAAAGTCGCAGCTATCAGGGTCTGGGGAGGAGGAGGAGAGGGAGGACCAGGGATTAGGCAGCTGGTGGGGACACCCTCCCCCTGGTGCAAAGTAGGGCAGGTAACTAGAGGGGGTAAGACTCCCTGAAATCACCTGGCATTTGAGATACAAGCAGGAAACCAGAAGGTCAGAGACCAGAGGGTGGTTACGGCCACAGCCTAGTTATCAATTCAGAGATGCAGAGAGGAACACAGAGACCTGGGGGGAGAGAGACAGAGACACACAGAGAGAGGGACAGAGGTGAGGGGGCAGAGACCTGGAGGTGGGAGGTGGGGGTTGGACAGAGATGAGTGATTAGGTTGAGGGACAGTCAGAAGGAGAGATGAGCAGAACGATCTTATTCTGGGGGAACATGTGACCCGTCAGCTGAGTCAGGTGGACAAAATGGCATGATCTGAATTCTCTGGGACAGATGCACCGTAACCCAGGAGGAGGGATAGGAAGAGGGAACAGAATGTGCCAAAGCCCAGAGGAGTGTGGGGAAGGGGGGGAGGCAGAGGGAGAGCCATGATAAGCTTTTGGGAGTAGTTGAACCTGGCCAGAAAACAAGCTCACCTCCACCTGCTTCTCCTGAGTGACATCACAGTGGTGGAAGACAGTGCCAGGGACCTCTAGCTCCATGGCCCGGCCCCCACGCTCTGCAAGGAGACAAAAGTTAGGGGTCTCCATTCCTGGGGGGATCTGAGAAGCAGGAGCTGGGACCCAGGACCCCGGCTTTGGAGGGAGGAGGCACCTGGGGGTTGGGCCTCCTGGGTCTCAGGGAGGAGGGGCTGGGTACTGGGGGAGGGGCAGGGGAAGCCCAAGTCTGAAGGAGGAAGGGCTGGGAGCCAAAACTGAGGGACCCTCACTCACCATCCTTGTCACAGATGACCACTTGGGCCCCGCTTGCCACTAAGAGAAAAGGGAAACATTAATCCAACACAGCCCTGGCACAGCCTCTGCTAACCCCCGGTGGACACCTGGAGAGGGGCCAAGCTGCCCTTCGTGTCCTCCTGATGGCCAAGCCACCTGATGAACCCGTGGGACAAAGGGCAGAGGCCCCAGCACTGATCCTGAGAGGCTGCCCAGGGGGCTGCTGGGGCCCTGGGGAGCCCACAGCTGACTTTCAGTCAACCCTAATCCTGCAGGAAATACAGTTCCCAAATCTCCTATTTTGTAGGCCTACCCAAAAAAGGGAGGAACTGTCCTAGATGCACTATCCTTAGAATAACTGTCTTTTTAGAAAATAAGAATTTTCCCTGCCTTTCCGGAATCCGTGCCTTCCAACCTCATTAACCTGGGGCTCCAGACCCAGACCCCTCTGCTCACCAAAGGCGCGCACAATACCGGCTCCAATGCCCCGCGCGCCCCCGGTCACAATGACCACCTTCTCCGCGTAGCTCTTTCCTGTAGCCATTCCTTCTGTCTCTCTCAGTCCAGTTAGGCTAGTCGTTAGGGAGTTGGGCTGCCAAGTCAAAGGCAAATGGTTTGAATCCACCAGGTGTTCTGCAGACAAAACTGAGGAGAAATATCTCTTCTGGTGAGAGACAGACCCCTGGAGTGTCAGTTAAAAGTCCAACTTGAGGTCAAATAAATGAGTGGGCAAGTCTCTAAATCAAGCCTTAAATACTGGCTGGATCCAGGAGACCCGCCCCAAAGGAGGTGCCAGGAAAGCTCACCTGGAAGTTAGAGGCCAGGTCCTCCTCTTCCAGATCCTGACCCTTCCTCCCTCAGACCCCGGAGTCCTGCATCTAGTGATCTAAGCCTGGTCCTTCCTCCAACTGATCAAGGAATTCAGATCCCAGCTGCTTCTGCACCAAAGATCAGGGCCCCTTCTCTAAAAATCCACAACCTCATCTTCCCTCCGAACCCAGAACTGCAGCTCTGCTCCTGTACATATACCCCAGTATCACAACTCCAAACAAACCAGACAAAAAAGAAGCTGTTCACTAAAAGTTCAAAAGTTTTAATTCAAGTTTGGACAGTATCGGGGAAAAAAGTGGTTTGGCCATGGAAGCCTCTTCTAAACAGTCATAGTGCCTAGACCACGCCCCTGGAGTCTTGATTGGCTCCAGAACACTGTATGGGACGCCCAGGGCACACCCCCCCTCTCTGATTGCCTGACGATTGGGCGTATCAGAAGCTTGATTGCAGCAGAGTGACTCGCAGAGGCCACGCCCCTTCCGCGGGAGCCAGGGCGGGAGGGGCGGTACCAGGCTCCCACGTGGACACCCAGGGGGCGGAGCCTCCACCACGCCCACTACTCTGGCTGGTGGGCACCACTGTGCGGGCATTAGCCACCCGAGGAGATCTGGGCGAAGGGGTCATCTGGGCTGTGGGATCCGAAGGAGGGGGAGGCGCTGGGGGGAGAGGGTCTCCTTGGGAATCCACATTTCCACCTGGAGAGGTCGAGTGAGGGAGAACAGCAAACTGAAGTCTGGACAGGGATGCATTTCCTCTCTCAGATCCAGCTAGCCTCTTCTTCCTCCAATCCTAGATTCAGAGCCTCTAGCCCCCTCTTCCCTCAGATCCTGGACTCTAAACCCTTGGGACTTCTAGCCCCCAGCCCCCTCCTCTCTGAGACAGTCTCATGGCCCATTCCCTCCTCCTTCAGATTTAAGAGTCTAACAGCTCCCAAGGGCTTCTTCCCAAAGATGCAGGAATCACATGCCCCCCAAGCACCTCCTCCCTTAGACCAGGGACTCCCATCCCCCAGGCATCCTTTCCCTCAGAGCCTGGGGCATTTGCCTGAAACCCTCTCCTCACCAAAATATAGATTCCCGTCAGCCCAGGACCCTCCTCTCCAGGACGTGGGACCCAGGGAAGTGTAGATCGCCCAGCCCCTCACCTGTCATCATACGATGCCACTGCGACGCCTCTGTGGCCAGGGCTTGGGAGAGGCTGAGGACCCTCTCCCGGTGACCTTCAGATGTGGGGAGGTAAGGCGTGGTGTTCCTCGGACTAGAAGATGGGGGTGATTGGGGTGGGATGGAGGGTGTACAGTTAACCAGTTCAGCCCACGTGGGTGCTCCTGGGAGTTGTAGTCCCAAGCACGTGGCTTTAAGGATTTTAGCATGCAGGTAAACCCCTTCGGTACATTTCACTTCCCCGCTCCCGTAAAGGACCCTTCAGATCCTCACCTACTCCAGGATCCTGAACTTCGGAGCCATTTCGAGGTTCCTGAGTGTCCCAGGGTGTCTAGGGCAGGCTGGGAAGGAAATGGGGTGTTAGGATCATTCAGGCGGCCGCCCCACGCCCTCATCTGGAGGATGAAGTGAAGGGGACTCAGAGAGGGGACAAAATAGCCCAAAGGCATGAAACTCTGTGCTCCCAGAAATTAAAAGACACTATAATTTTTTTTTAAATAGCTCCCCCCCATATTTTTTTTTTAAATTTTTCTTCCAGGAAATGACTTGTCACAAAGCACCACCACCCAGCCACCACACAAGCCTTATAAATTTCCGTCCTTTGTTTCATGAATCATGATGAGACAAACTCTTTGTCCCTCTGAAACTAGCCAGACACAGAGCCAGACATTTCCTGTTCAGCTGACAGCTGGTGACTCCAGATTGAATGCATGAAAGCCCCAGCCCCGGACCACGCAGTTCCCCTTCACTGATATTAGCAGCACTGTTATAACAACAGGGCTTTTTCCCTGGTGAATTTTTTTTTTTTTTCCTCACCAGAAAGGGATGCTGTTGTTCTTAGGTGCCATCAAATGGATTTTGACTCATAGCGACCCTAGAAACAACACAGCTGAACCCCGACCTATCTTACCTCATCTTCATGATGTCTGATATGCATGGAGCCCACATTTTTAAAGTTTATTCTTAATTTCAATGAAAATTTACAGATACTTTGGATTTCCATTCATTCACTGTTAGCACTTTTCTCCCCTGCCATATACTACCTTCTTGGAAAAAGAAAAGTCTTTCATTGTTTTACAATCCCTTCCCCCCAAGTCCACTGCACTATGCAGCCTTCGCTCTGGACTCCTGTCATGACAAAAACACCTAATCACACACCCCTTTTAAACAGTTTTCTCTCTCATCTGTCAATGCAGTATACATTATTGTAGCCATCTTTCTCAGTCTCTCCCCAACCCCGATGTCAGTCCTGTTTTACAACAGTGGCACCATGTAGTAGTTGTCCTTTTGGCTGGGATACTTCACTCAGGATAATGTCCTCCAGGGTCACCCATTTTGAATAATATTGCATGAGTTCCTGGTTTTTCAATGCAGCGTAGTATTCTATGGTGTGAATATACCACAGCTTCTCTATTGTTGATGGGCACTTAGGTTGTTTCCACCTCTTTGCTATTGTGGACAAAGCCGCGATAAACATGGGTGTGCATGGAGCCCACTTTGATAGTCACTGTGTCAATCTGTCTTGCGTAGGCTTCTCTTCCCTTTTTCTGACCCTTCACCTTTCCCAGCAAGATGTCTTTTTCCCAGGACTGGCCTCCCCTGACAACATGCCCAAAGTATGTGAGATGAAATTACACCACTCTAGTCTCCAAGGAGCACCCTGATTATACTTCATCCAAGGAAGATTTGCTTATTTTTTTAGAAGTCCATGGGATATTCAACACTCTTTGCTAACACCACAATTTAAAACTGATCCTTCTGAAACTTCCTTATTCGTTATTCACCTTTCTCACATATATGAAGCAATTGAAAGCTTGGGCCAGGCACACTTTATTCTCTAAGCTGACATTTGACCTTTTTTAGCACTTTGGAGAGGTCCTTGATAGCAGATATTCCCGGTGAAACACGTCTTTTGATTTTTATTTTATTATTTTGTGTGTGTGTGTGCTGTCAAATCGGATCTGACTGGTACAGGAGGAGATTGCCCCTCCTTCTCCAGCAGAGCATCTGGTGGATTCGAACCACGTGCCTCTGGGATTGCAGTGCAGCTTCCTGCCACTAGGCCACCAGAGCTCCCTGGAACTTTTTTTTAAATAGTTGAAGACAAAGGAAAGTTTATTAAGTAACAAAGAGGCACTTTCAAAAGATTGGATGAGAGTGGGTCTCGTGAACTGAGCTTTTTGATGGTC